TGTAATCCCAGCACTTTGGGAGGCCAAGGCAGGCGGATCACCTGAGGTCAGGAGTTCGAGACCAGCCTGGCCAACATGGTGAAACCCCGTCTCTACTAAAAATACAAAAATTAGCCAGGCATGGTGGTGGGCGCCTGTAATCCCAGGTACTCAGAAGGCTGAGGCGGGAGGAGAATCGCTTGAACCCAGGAGGCAGAGGTTGCAGAGCCAAGATCACGCCACTGCATTGCAACCTGGGTGAGAGAGCAACACTCCGTTTCCCCCACCAAAAACAAAACAAAACAAAACAACCCAACACAACGCACAGGAAATCAGGAAATAACCAGACAAAATTCTTTGGTAAATAGCAATCACTGCTTGTCTAAAGGGCATTAGGATCCTATTCCAAACTTTAATAAATTAGGTAGTAGGTATGGAAGGGATATTAAATAATTCTTAAAAATAAAAATTTTAATTTAATATAATCAACTATATTTCATAATTATAAACAATATATTCTTTTTAGTTTCTCTCCCATAAAAGAGGTAAACTGTATGTTACATAATACATTATATAACAGAAAACTGTATGTATAATAAAATTCAGTAGCATCTGGGAGAAGAAAATATAACTTTAAATGCAATTAATAGACTACTTCTAACATGTAAAATTTACCAGATTCCAAAAGTTAAGCTTCTTAAGTTAAAAATGAAGTTTAAAAAACACGTTAAGCCTCTATGGAGACAATTTTATTTGTTTTAAAAAAACAGATCAAATCCTTTGAAAGCAAATGTCATCACATCAACACTTTCATCTATGGAATACTAAATATCTACTTAAAAAATGAGAAAGATCTTTTTTTTTTTTTGAGACAAGAGTCTCGCTCTCTCGCCAGGCTGGAGTGCAATGGCGCGATCTCTGCTCACTGCAAGCTCCACCTCCTGGGTTCACGCAATTCTCCTGCCTCAGCCTCCCGAGTAGCTGGAACTACAGGTGATCGCCACCATGCCCAGCTAATTTTTTGTATTCTTGGTAGAGACGGGGTTTCACCATGTTAGCCAGGATGGTCTTGATCTCCTGACCTCGTGATCCGCCCGCCTCAGCCTCCCAAAGTGCTGGGATTGAAGGCGTGAGCCACCACGCCTGGTCAAAGTTTTTTATAGTATACTTTCGAACTATTAAAATTTTTTTTTACCATGTACATTTTAAACTACTCATTCAAAAAAAATGTATTGGGGAACTGGTCAAGTTACTAGACCTATTTGACTACAAGATTTGACTAGTAAAGCAGTTGAACTATTATCTAGATAATATCTATTGAATAAATGAATGAAATGGTGCCCACTTTTTAAGTCAGGTTAGGATTTGTATGCACTTTATCTCTTGAACTGATGGCAGCTTAAGTGATAAAACAGCTAACCAAGAAGTAAATACATCATCAAAAGAGAGAATTCACAGACCACGAATATTTATAGGTTACCTGCTAAAGAGCAGGCAAGTAGGCAGGCAAACTGGCACAGAGAGCACTAAGTCTGTTTCTAAGGTGAGTTTCCATAACCAAAAACAGACCAGAAAAATGTTAAGTCAAATATAAGTAGAAGATTGACGGCTCTCAGCATGAGGGTTAATCCAGCAAGGAAGAGATTCACAAAGACAAATGGTTTTTAATTCTAGTTAGTTATTTTTTATTGAAGCAGGTAAAACAAAAATCTGTTCATAGATCTTTAAGTTTTTAAGTCTTTAGGTTTTTAGTATAATAATTCTGGGCCTTCAACTCAGGTACTATCCATCTAACAATAAAACAATGGTGACCATTAATTATTTACCTGTGTTATAAAAGTAATATGAAAGGTGTTTTCTAAAAGAATTAGGGAATGGTTACTGACTTAAACACTGGAATAGCAACATTTTGAGTGTTTCTTGGGGGGCAGTAGGGAAAGTGCGGTTCAGACAGGAAGTAGATACGGGGTTGTGGAGGTGGGAGAGGAGACAGGTAGAAATAGAGGAAAGGAGAAGAAGGAAAATGGAAATGAAAACTCCCCCCCATAGGCTGAAGATACCTTTAATTCGACTTTTAAACATCACTTCTTCATAAAGATTGAGAAACCCTGAACGAAGAGAAAGGAAGGTAACCAATGAAATGAACTCCACTTCCATTTCTTAATGATGAATGGTTAAACCAGAGATAAAATATGAAGAGAAGAGACAGCTACATCCTAGACACCAAGTGCCTATTTAAACCTCTGTAAGAAATAAATGTGAGAGATCAAGAATTTATTCCTGGAACTGAAGTCAGGTTGGAATATTCGCTCTATAAAAACCTAAGTAGGTGGTCTTGAAAATGTTCCAAAAGGCCTTTCTTGCCTGATCTGCCTAAAGTAGAGCAGAGTGACTAGAGACACAATAGCCAGACTCTTTACTTGATGAAGACATGGCCCCTGAGTACAGTGACATGAGGAAAACTGGATTGAAAACACTGCTTTTAGTCACTTTTTAACCCAGATAGGGGCTAAACTACATTTGGAGACTTCTAAATTATTACAGAACTCGGTGAGCTTAAATGCTTTTTCTATATTTCTTACAAAAAAATCTAAGGTTCAATAGTTGTTTTGGTTTCTTTGTTTTGTTTTGTTTTTTTTGAGATGGGGTCATGCTGTGTGACCCAGATGGAAGTGCAATGGTGTTACCATGGCATACTGCAGCCTCAAATTCCTGGGCTCAAGCTATCCTCCAGCCTCAGCCTCCCCAGTAACTGGGACTGGAGGCACACATTACCATGCGCAGCTAATTTTATGATTTTTTAAAAATAGAGACAGGGTCTCACCATGTTGCCCAGGCTGGTCTCCAACTGCTGGGCTCAAGCAATCCTCCCATCTCAGCCTCCCAAAGTGTAGGGATTACAGGCGTGAGCCACTGCACCTGGATGGCTCAATAGTTTTAATTCAGCTGAGAAATTTCTAATTCTTTGGCCTATAGAAGGCAGACAATGCTTATCCCTGAAGAGAATTAAATTTTCCTAAGTTTTCAAATGAAAAGATGGGTATATCATTCAACAAAAAGTTTGGGCTTAGCTACCTACTTATCACCTAGATTACTTAAACTGCAAATTCCTAAACCCCATCTCCAGAGATTCCAAATCAGTAGGAGTGGAAGCCCAAGAAATAAACATTTCCTATATATTTTCATGTACATGCCAAGGATTCCAATTGAGGTGATACAAGAACAGAATTTGGGGAACATTGTTCTACATTCCTAAGAATGGTCTTAACTATACTACCGAGAAAGAAAAACAGCAATAAGATGCAATTTGTAGACTTCTAAGACATTGTAATTGCAAACATATTTTTTCTATTGTTTTAATATAAAAGATGCTCTCATAGTTGCTGTGCAGAAATGTGTTACGGCTCCTATATCCCTTGAATCAGATGTTGACCTCTGAGAGTGGTATTTTCTGGACATGTTCGATATACATATCAAGGCCATGCGTAGTTCAAATTTTACCATAATAACACAAGTTATTAAGAGTAAGCAACAACAAAAAATGATAGCTGCTTACCTCCAGGGAAGGGGAACTAAGACACTGAGAGCTGGAGATAGGAGGAAACTTTTTACAGAATACTGTTTTGAACTATTTAATATTTTTTTTTAAAGGATTCAAGAATGGATAATACATGTGTTAGGAGGAGAGGACAAACAACCAACAGTTGTTACAAAGTGTTTTAAGAACCATTTCATTCCCCTTTCAGAAACAATTCAATAGTTCAGAGTAGCAGTCTACCAAGATGGAAGAGTTAATTTACACAAACACTCTGGATTGCAGGGCAACAGATGGCAGACACTGTTAAGCAAGCAATCTCTTGAGTTAATAGAATTCTTGTGTCTAGGCCAACTTTAATTGCTGTGTCAAACCTATTCAGTAATTCCAGCTCAATGAGGAATGGGAAGCAAGCAGCAAGGAGGAGAAAAAGGGGAGGGAGGCAGCATCACTTTCCTATGTTCTAGGCGACACCTAAACTGCTGTCCCTTTAAATTAGAGTGCTGTGTAACAGCTATCTGAAGGACAGAAATTAAGGAAAAGTGTTAGGGAATAAGGGAAATGAACCATCTAGCATGTGGGAGGCAGAAAATGGTTCCATATTTTCTTCCTGGTATGCAATGCAGTACACATTAAAGTTTTCAAACACTCAAATACTTAGTCTTTTGTTTTCGCTGTATTACTAAGTAACCGGGAAGGGTGTGAGCCTATTTGAGCCTACAGGATAAAAGAATTAAATTTGGAAAATAAGTACAGAAAGGCCTCTGTGTTACAGATAAAGAAGATAAACTATAAGAAACAAAACAACTTTGAAATTATTTTTTTCCAACACAGAAACAATTATTATCACTTGTTCTACATAATGTAAAAGTAAGGTATTTTTCTATAACTAAACCCATAAACTAATGTCTTTCAAAACCACACAAGGCATAGCTTTGGAGTTTCAAGTTTTTTTTTGGTTTTTTTTTTTTTTTGAGACAGAATCTCGCTCTGTCGCCCAGGCTGGAGTGCAGTGGCACAATCTCGGCTCACTGCAAGCTCCACCTACCGGGTTCATGCCATTCTCCTGCCTCAGCCTCCTGAGTAGCTGGGACTATAGGCACCTGCCACAGCGCCCAGCTCATTTGTATTTTTAGTAGAGACGGGGTTTCACCGTGGTCTCAATCTCCTGACCTTGTGATCTGCCCACCTCGGCCCCCCAAAGTGCTGGGATTACAGGTGTGAGCCACCGCGCCCGGCCGAGTTTCAGTTTTTTTTTAAAAAAAAGCGTATAGAAGCATTAGCAAAATGTCTCCTGCTGTTCAAGACTCAGCTATTCTTTTTTCCTGAGATGACACCAAGTCCAAATTCCTGAAAAATAGGATTTTTGCTTGGGGAAAAAGTAAATACTTTGTAACTTCTCTTGTTAAGAAAAAATGTTTCAAAAAGCAGTTCTACTTGAGTAAACAGAAATATAAGCACAGAAGACAAACCGATGACTTCTTACCTTGCTACCATTTTCAGGTTTAAGGTCACTCTGTTAAAAAAAGGAAAACAAATAATATTTTAAGACATATCCAAATGAATTCTCATTATATGCTTGTTTCTAACTTTGGAATATGAGACTATATTCTGGTGATAGTGAATTCCCTGGGAGACTTGAGGATCATAGAAAGATACCCCTACTCTGAGCATATCACGGTCCCTTGTTAGCATGGTATATACAGACAGTTTTAAAAGTCCATAATTACTACCTTTAGCAAGGAGCTTGCAAAAACAAGCAAACCACTATTTTAGGTAGAGGTACTATTAACTGCGTTACAAAAATAAATCAACACATAAAAATAATCCACAATCAGTTCCCTTAGCTTTTTAGAGATACTACATGTGCTACCTGGCAAAGAAGCTATATCCTAACACAGTAAGACTGGATAATTTTGGAGAAAATTTAGCCTGATGGCTAGGTTGAATGAATTTCCATCTTTTTATTTTTTATTTTTTTTTTTGGAGACAGAGTTGCACTCTGTCGCCCAGGCTGGAGTGCAGTGGTGCAATCTTGGCACACTGAAACCTCTGCCTCCCAGGTTCAAGCAATTCTTATGCCTCAGCTTCCCAAGTAGATGGAATTACAAGGGTGCCCCACCACACCCGGCTAATTTTTGTATTTTTTAGTAGAGGCAGGGTTTCACCATGTTGGCCAGGTTGGTCTCGAACTCCTGACCTCAAGTGATCCGCCTGCCTTGGCCTCCCAAAGTACTGGGATGACAGGTGTGAGCCACCACACCCGGCCAATAATTCATTTCTTCATCCTGTTCTGCAGCTATTGAGTAGTTTTCTCTGCATAAGGGTTGCTAGCACTGATAGTTCTTACCGGATGGATATCACCAATATAGTACTGCTTTAGCATTTCTCTGGCATCAGAGGAGTGCCCTACATCTTCAAAGCTTTCACTTGCATCTACACCAGCTTGTTCCAGCAGAACCTCTTCTCCTCCAGGGTGCTACAAGGAAAATATATTTACTGAACCGAGGGTTCTCTAAAAAGCAAACCAACGAGTTACTTTCCCATACCCCTTTCTTCCTTTCTCCCTTTATTAGAAATAATAGAACAAATTGACACTGTGTGCTGCCCGGTAAGAGGCAATGGGAAGAACATAGCATAACTTCTGTGATACTGTGGTCAAAAATGCATAATATGGGGATTACTGTGAGGACACCTAGGACAACCACAAATTTAGAAATATTATACAAAATCTCTCTGGACAGGTCTGGCCTGTGATCTCTAAAGATACCACCATCATGAGAAAATAAAAGAAAGAGTGAAGAAATTGTTCCAGATTGAAGGAGGCTAGAGAGACATGACAACTGGGAACAATGTGCAATCCTAGGTTGGTTCCTTTTGCCAATATTATTAAGATAACTGCAGAAACCTGACTGAGGACTCCAGGCAAAGGGTATATGCAATTCTTTATTATATTCTTGCAACTTTTCTGTAACTTTGAAATTGTTTCAAATTAAAAAGTTAACTAGGCCAGGCGTGGTGGCTCACGCCTGTAATCCTAGCACTTAGGGAGGCCAAGACGGGCAGATCACTTGAGGTCAGGAGTTCGAGACCAGCCTGGTCAACTTGGTGAAACCCTCTCTGTACTAAAAATACAAAAAGTGCCAGGCGTGGTGGTGGCGGGTGCCTGTAGTCCCAGATACTCAGGAGGCCGAGGCAGGAGAATTGCTTAAACCTGGGAGGGGGAGGTTGCAGTGCACCAAGATCACGCCACTACACTCCAGCCTGGGCAAAAGAGCGAGACTCTGACTCAAAATAAGTGAAGAAATAGATAAGTTAACCATATAAAGTAGTGCCTCAGGAAGCAGATTCTATAACTATCAGCTATGTGACCCTGCACAAGTTATTGAGAAATTGAGATGTCTTTGGTTCCTTACTTATAAAATGGAAATGTTAGTAAGAGTACCTGTCTTGACAACTATTGTACATATTAAATGAGATAAGCATATAGAACACTTTGTACTCCAGAAGAGCATAATATAACACCATCTACGATTTTTAAATGTAGATACATATATGCATATTTATACCCCTGCATAAAATATCTCTAGAAATGGTGAAAGAACCTAGTGGCTGGGAGATAGGGTAGAAGGAAGACTTAACCACATACTTTTCTGAAATTGTGTTTTGTTTGTTTGTTTGTTTTTTGAGACGGAGTTTCACTCTTGTTGCCCACACTGGAGGCACTGCACTCCAGCCTAGGTGACAGAGCGAGACTCCATCTCAAAAAATAAAATAAAATAAAATAAAATAAAAAATAAATAAACTGTAAATGTTACTTCCCAGTCACAGTCACTAGCCAAGGAGCTCCCTGAGGATAAGGATAACTTCTATTTTTATCTCCTAAAAGGTCTCCACCCAATGAGTGGGTCTCACATCCTAGTATTTAAGAATGCTATTTTAAAGCAAGAGTAAGACAGCTACCATTCATTTGTTATTATATCTGAAACTCTCAGGTGTGGTGTGTTCTTTGTTGTGGAACTAAGTCATCAGTTCTGGAATTATGTCCCAATTTGTTCTATATATCTAAACTATGAACGATATTTTTTCATTTTGACACATCCCAACTATTGTGTTGCCTTTCAAAGTAAAAGGACAACAAAGCTCTGTAGTAGATTACGACATTTCAGGGAATGACTGAATTTATGACTTGCTACACAGTTCTTTCTAGAAAGTACTTTCACTTTCATCAATCTCTCGCCACTTATAAAAAAGAGAAATCACAACACTTTTTAAAAATATCAAGTAAAAATTATATATTCACTGTGGTAAATCTGGAAAAAAGAATAATCAACTAGAGTCCTGGAACAGAAATAAGTCCAGTTAACAATTTGGTGCATAAAATTTCATTTCCTGTGTATTCTTTCAATCATTTCAGCCATTAGTCTACAATGTTTTATTGAATCCTTGCTATTTTGTGTGGTAGGCAGTAATAAATAGAAGTTTTTTGTGTTCTCACAAAGCGAATTCATATAGTACATAATGTTTTATAGCCTGCTTTTTTTTTCACTGAAGCAAGTGGGGGTCAGAGTGATCAAACAAAATTCTTTGGTTTAATAACTTTTCACTCTAAAATGTGATCTTAATAGAGATGGCTTAGAACAAGCAAAAAGATGTCAGGGAGCTCTTGGTTTCTGTTTAGAACTCCATAGTCTCCAGACATAGTGAGTGAAAATCAAACGGACAGAGGGCTGCCGTGGGCCACTGGCAGCCCAGCTGGAGGAGCTGAAATCAGTGCACTAGGCCCAAGGCTGTAGTAGGGTCCTGGCCAGTCTTAGGTCAAGATAATACTCAGGCTGAGGGAGCATGAGAAGGCATCGAGGAGAACTCAAAGAGCCCCAGCACCCCAGGAGAAGCCAGACCAACTCTCAGTGAAGGAGCTACTGTTCAACTCCAGCATCAGCCACTGGATGGTCCTGCCCATATTTATCATCTCCTTCTTCTCAGACATGATCTGCCACTACATGTTCACCCTGGTACAGAGCGACAAGAAGCTCACCCAGGAGCAAGTTTCTGAACAGTTAAGTCCTAATTTGAAGCAGAGCCTTCAGTGAAAATGGAAATTACATTCCCAAAAAGTATTTTCTTGACATGAGAATATTACATCGACAACCCAGAGGATAAAAATATCACCACTTCCTCCCACTATGCTCTCAGGCATGATGAAAGGAAATATAACAAATGTCATCCCTATGATTACTTGTGAATGGGTCAACATGACATATTCAGGCATTGTTGCAACCAAGGTCCTATTTCCACTGATCCTCTGTTTTCTGTTGTTGTTTGTTTGTTTGTTTTGAGACGGAGTCTAGCTCTGTCGCCCAGGCTGGAATGCAATGGCACCATCTCGGCTCACTGCAACCTCCGCCTCCCAAGTTCAAGTGATTCTCCTGCCTCAGCCTCCCAAGTAGCTGGGATTACAGGTGCCTGCCACCATGCCCGGCTAATTTTTGTGTTTTTAGTAGAGACAGGATTTCACCGCATTGGCCAGGCTGGTCTCAAACTCCTGACCTCAGGTGATCCACCCGCCTTGGCCTCCTAAAGTGCTGGGATTACATGCGTGAGCCACTGCGCCCAGCCGACCCTCTGGTTTTAAGCCTATCCTGCAGCAAGTTATCAAACTACTCACATTAGATCTACCCTGAATGAGCTCTGTATCCTGGTATTTCCTCAACATATTTGGGCTTCAGAGAATTTACTGTGATTCTGGGCCAAGATAATGGCAATTGACCAATAAGAAATGAGGCAGGAGCAGATAACCAGAGCAGCCATGCCCATGCCCACAGACACCAGCAAATCTTCCAAGACAAAGTAGAAAGTTTTGGAGCTGACGCATTACCAGTGGACACCAGATGATGTCAAAGAGCTCATGGGCAAAGACCTTCACTTTGAAGGAAGTCCAAAAAGGAGTTACAAGACCAAGTGCCATGGCTCACGCCTATAATCCCAGCACTTTGGGAGGCTGAAGAGGACAGATCACTTGAGGCCAGGAGTCTGAGACCAGTCCAGCCAACGTGGTGAAACCCTGTCTCTACTAAAAGTACAAAAATTAGCTGGGCATGCTGGCACTCGCCTGTAATTCCAACTATTCCGAAAACCCCTTGAACCTGGGAGGTGAAGGTTGCTAGTGAGCCACGATCACGCCACTGCACTCCAGCCTGGGCAACAGAGTGAAGCTCTGTCACTAAATAAAAAAATAAATAAATAAATAAATAAATAAAGAGTTACAAACCTCTATTTTTTTGAAGACCAAGCAGTAAAGATTAGCTCTGCCAGAACTTGGAGTAGACCTTAACCTGCTAACTTGTGTTTGAGCTAGAGCCTCTCAGAATTAAAAAAAAGAAAAAAAAAGAAAAGATAGCTAGGCACAGTGGGTCACACCTGTAATCCCAACACTTTGGGAAGCCAAGGCGGGATGATTGCTTGAGGCCAGGAATTCAAGACCAACCTGGGCAACCAAGCAAGACCCCGTTCTCCACAAAAAAAAATTTAAAAATTAAAAAATTATCCAGGCATGGTGGCCTGTAGTCCTGGCTACTCAGGAAGCTGAATTAGGAGGATCACCCAGGAGCCAAGGAATTCAAGGCTGTGGCGCCACTGTGGCTGTGGGCAACAGAACGAGACCCTGTGTCTAAAAAAATTAAAAATACAATACATAAATATTAAAAAATAAAAAATAATAATTTAAAAAGAAAGATATATGAGCCTCTCAGCATACAGCAAGGATCATTCTTATCTGAGCCAGGTTTCCCTTTATGCCTGAAACTAGAAAAAATGAAGGGTGTGTGCTGGATGATTTATAGGCAAAGTGCCATTTTAAAAATGTTTTACATTTTCCTTCTGGTGACTCTAGAAAGGAAACGCAGAGAAAGGGGAAAAGTTAAGCTAGCCAAAATATAAATGTTTACCAAAAATTCAATCTTTGAAAAAGCATTATTATTTTCTGAAAGAGTTCATGGAAACCAAAAAAAAAAGGCCGGGCGCAGTGGCTCACGCCTGTAATCCCAGCATTTTGGGAGGCCAAGGCGGGCGGATCACGAGGTCAGGAGATCGAGACCATCTGGCTAACATGGTGAAACCCCGTCACTACTAAAAATACAAAAAATTAGCCGGGCGTGGTGGCAGGCACTTGTAGTCCCAGCTACTCAGGAGGCTGAGGCAGAAGAATGGCAAGAAACCAGGAGGTGGAGCTTGCAGTGAGCCAAGACTGCCCCACTGCACTCCAGCCTGGACAACAGAACAAGACTCTCTCTCAAAAAAAAAAAAAAAAGCATTATTAATTATAACTAATTATTATATGCAGTCTGACTTTTAATGACAGTAAGCTCTTATTTTCTTAGGATCCAAGCACCCTGCATTTTTATATTTAATTGTGTTAGTATTTTTATAACTTTCTTTACAAAAGTAATAATTTTCATTATCAAAAATTTAGAAACTATA